AATTACAGGGTGCACCCCTCTGCCTCTTTCCCCGAGTGAATTAAAATTGTTATCCCGGTAGGGAGGATGTTGCTGTTGGAGGCGCTCCACTCCACCGCGGCCTCGGCTCCAGCTTCGCTGTGTGTCATGGCGCAGGTAGGCTCCGGCCGTGACTGCTGCATATGTGGGCCGATACGGTCCGCGGCTTTGTGGGGTTCTCCTGTCCTCGTAGGTCCTGGGTTCTTGGGTTCGCCGGTTCCTATGTCCTCGCCGGTATTGGATGGTGGTCCAGGGCTCGTCCCGTTCCTCTTCCATGAGGTAAGGCGGCATTTTGTGTCCGGGTAATAAGGCTGTTAAAACCTTTATTAAGACCTTTATTAAAACATAAAAGTCCGCCCAGCGAGGGCTAAAAATTACCGAGTAAAATGCGCCACAGTGTTTCGTTCTAAAAAAGTACTTTTATTAAAATAAATACAAAAAATAAAAAAATAAAGAAAATTAAAATAGCAAGCATAAAAACCGCTACGTTTCAATCCCATACGGGATCTTCATCAGGCGGGTAGGCTTGCTAAAAACAATTAAAAGCAGAGGATATCCTTCGTAGGAAACGCTCTCTCTGCGTCTGTGGTCTGGGCCGTTGGGCGGGTGCCGGGTGGGTCCCTGTCCCTCATCAGGGTGCAGTCTGGGGGTCTGGGGAAGGAGAGACAGCGCCTCCCTTCAGGTCTGGATGGACATAAAAACGGAGTAAGAAAAAAAGGAGGAGGAATGGAACTCGTGGGTTAGGGGTTAGGGTTAGGAAAGAGGGGATGGGTCGTGCTGACTGCGTCCTGCATCAGCACGACCCATGCACTCGCCATCCGGATTCTGTCGTACCTTCAAAATAAAATATGGAAAAAAAACCTTATTGTTAATAATGGGTTATGCAAATTAGAAACCAGGGGATGAAAACTCCTCAGGTGAGAAGTCATCTGAAAATAAAAATATTTTGAAGGATTATAAGTAAATCATAATAATACAGTGAATGTGGAACGAAAGGGTGTGAAGTGGGTCTGAGTTAGGGTCCGGTTGTCCTCTGTGGGGGAGGTGCTCTCTCATTAAGGCCATGGGGGTAAGTGGTTTTGAGTTTTGTGATCCAGAGTCTTTCGTTGTATTTTCTTTGTTTGATGGTCCAATGGGGGTTTGACTGAAGAATGGAAACCTTGATGGCCTCCCACCCATGTGACAGAATGTGTTTGACGAGGTGTCTGTGTGTTTTTCTTGTGGATGATGTTTTGTTTGTGTGTGTAGATTCTGGCTCTGACGGTGCGCCCTGTGTCCCCTACATATTTTAAATTACAGTTATTGCACAGAATTACATAAATACAGTTTGTAGTGTCAATATTGCCATGTATGGGTCTCCGAAATATTTCTCCAGTCCAGTGATTCTTAATCCAATGTTGTTGTTTGAAGTAGTTGTGATTGATTTCTCTTTTGTCCGGATATTGTTTGGGAATGATGGCGCGGACGAGGTGGTCTTTAAGATTCTTGTTCTTTCTGAAGGCTGTAATGATCCGTATGTCCTGGTAGGGTTGATTGGGGTTGACCTTTTGTTTGTAATTTTTAATGAAGTAATTGAAATAAATTGTGGAAGTAGTAATGAGGGGGAGAATGTTTACTGGGGCGGGTTTGGTGTCCAAAAATGTTTTTAAGCAAGTCCTGAGGCAGGAGCGGGTGTAACCCCGCCCCCTGAGGGCCGTAAAAAGGATGGTGGTGGCAGTTTTGAAATCTTCCGGTCTGGTGCAAATTCTATTTAAACGTAAAAGTTGTTATTTGATGAGTCCTTTGCAAGTAGGTTTGGGGTGGTAACTTGTCCTGTGTAGTAAGGCGTGGGTGGTCATCTCCCAATAACGTGCACTGCCCTCCAGAAGTAATTGGGTCCGTTCATTTGGAGCGGCAGGCTCAATGAAAGTGGCCAAGTTAACTGTCATTGTTTTTATTGTGGGGGGTGCCTCCCTCCCGCGGACATTCTGAGAATGGTGGACTGACCGAATTATTCCATGGATAATTCTTAACTTAATGGTAAAATTCGGGTCCTGAGAATCAATAACTGGGTGGACAGGTCTGTTCATCTCACCCTGTTGATTAAAGTTAGAGTTGTATTCAGAGAGGGGGTACCGAAATTGACACGGTCCATTCCGGCCTCTGCTTCGGTTCCGCTGTCCCCTCCGGTCCTCCATTTCGTCATGCCGAAAGGCAGGTGGAGGGGGACGGCGGGTGCCGGCTGTGACTTCAGCATACGAGGGGCCCCTCGTTCTTTGGGACCATGGGGTTAGGGTTAGGGTTAGGGTTAGGGTTAGGGTTAGGGTTTAGG